GTGGCCAACAGATAGCTACTCCACGTAATCTTTCATGCGCACAACAATGCATGGTTAGAAGCATACAGTCAGAACCAATGGTGGTGGTGGCAGCTGCATATACTCCGACGGTCAAGTCAGCGTTGGGTGATCGGAATAGTGCTCAAATTGTGCAAGAGGGTGGGGAGGAGAATATATGTTTCTTAGTGTGGAGAGCTAAATTGTTAAGAGTTTCATTACCTTTCTCTTCCCAAACCTTGGGTTTTTATAGACGTAGAGTACTGTTGGATGTGGGACACGTGTATGCGTCTGACGGTGTGAGGTGTTCGCTCATAAGCGTCAATTAGCCGCGTCTAGAGTGGGTGGACAATTAGTTCTACTGAGTTGAGTTGACATAAAGTCGATATGTTACATCAACTAGATCTATGGAGACGTCACATCAATTGATCCTTGGAGGCAGAGGGGATCCTGACAGATATCTTTCTGATAGTGGCGGTGGAGAAATCTGTTAAGGGGTACCTCGGAGTGCCCGACGCTTCGGAGTTGAGGAAAACTTCGGTTACTTTAATGGATCTACTCTTCACCTTGCAGCGTGTCATGTCGAGGTCGTCAGGAGTGGGCATCACTTTGAAACCACTTTGGATGGACACATGTCACTTCGAAGAGTGGTACGACTGTTGTTCCGAAGTGGTTTGGTCAGGATGGACATGCGTCACTTCGGAGAGTGGTGTGACTGTTGTTCCAAAGCGGTTTGGTCAGGGGTGTAACAGTGGTCCTCCCAAGTTCAGGCATGAATATTTATATCATGGGTGGACTTGTTTTCTCGATTGTATATGCCGACCTTAGAGTATTGCGAAATTTGATGAAGTGCTGAGGCGAGGTGATAACCGAGGAGATGTGGGCAGGGCATCCTCTCGGTTGATCATTCGTTGTTTCGTGACGATCCTTCAGTGTTCAACTGGGGGAGGAGCTCATCTGTCACCGTTGCGTTGATCCAAATGGGACGACGCGTTGGGAGATGACTAGAGCTTTGTAAAGTTTAAGAGGGAACGTAGCAACCGAGGCGAGGACCCATACAGGGGACTCCACGTCAAGTGCGTCGAAGCTTGTAAAGTTGGTTACAAGGCTCATCTATTATCGATGCATTGACCTACAAGGGAAGATGCGTTGGGAGATAGTTAAGGCTTGGAAAAGCTGAGAAAATGCGGCGATCGAGGCGATGACCTACAGGGGACTCCGCATCAGGTGTGCCGAGTCTTGTAAAGTTGGGTGAAGAGCTCATCTACTATCGATGCGCTGACCCACAGGGGACGACGTGTTGGGAGATGGTTAAGGCTTGGAAAAGTTGAGGGAACGCAGCAACCGAGGCAATGACCCACAGGGGACTCCACATCAGGTGCGTCGAAGCTTTGTAACGCTAAGTACTTCATTCGAGGTGTATTGGGATGGACTATCTCTGATCTGAAGCGTCTTATTATAACGTTAATCGATGTGACAGCTGTCGCGTATTTTCAAGGCAACAGTTGGATGTGCTGCTTGTTCCCAGAAAAAGGGCTGCTGCGGCCACTTATTGTTGACGGCTGTTGTTGTTCGAGGTGAAGCGCTTTATGCGTGCGTGAGGGGCACAATTAGATCTTGGGCGTTGATCAAATATGGCGTTTCATTTCTACGATCCAGATTTGTGATGAGATGAACGGCCTAGATTGACATCGTTTGAATTCGACGGTGCGGATCGTCTGAATTCTCCTATAAAAAGAGGACTTATTGCCATTCGAACGTTTTTACATTTGCAAACTTAGAATCCCTATTGCTCTCTAATTTTTTGGCGATTTCCGACGAATTTCAAGCGTTTCCCGACGACATTTTCATTTTTCGATGAGTTTCAGAGGGCCATTTCTTATTTCCCGACCGTAGAAAACCCTAATCCGTTCGTTTCAGTAAGTATTTCTCTAGTTTTTCAAGTTTTTTGAATTCTGATGGCTTCTGAGAGTAGTAACGCTTTGGGGAGGGAATTGGGTGTAGTTCAGGCGGATGAGCCTATATTGGCAACATCCAGTGAGGTGGCCGATGCTATATTAGGGTGAAAAAATCTGACGAAGGCCTAATAGCCCGGTAGACACATCAGAACATTGGGGGGCTTCTGACTATCCATCGAAGTTGAAAACTACTGACCTGGCTAGATTTAGGACCGAGTATCAAATCCCAGATAGTGTGGGTTTGTTACTTCCGGGGCCGGATGAGCGAGCCTGTTACCCAAGGCCGGGGTGCGTAGCTTTTAGCGATGCCATATTGAGGGTGAGGCTTAGGTTGCCCATCCACCCCTTTTTTAGATATGTATTAAGGTCCTATGGCCTAGCCTCTACCCATTTGAATCCGAACTCCTGGAGCCAGATGGTGAGATCATAGATACTGTGGAAGGAGGCATCCTATGGGGAGGAGATGCCATTTTTTATTTTCCAAATAATGTATATACCTAAGGTCGTGGCGGAGGGTGATAAGACGAAGGGATGGTACTACTTGACTTCCTGGGGGTCTCACACTCCATTCATGCTCGATCAGTCGAGCTCCATTAAGGAATGGAAGAGTTCACGGTTCTGGGCTTCCGAGAGATGGGACACGATGGAGGGTGACCCCCTGGTGTCCCTTACCGTTCCTACCAAATACTCCACATGTAGTGAGTACTAGTACCTTGTTTCTAAAAATGTTTGTTTGTGTTCGGAATATAACTCATTTTCTTGTAGGTCCTTTTCCTCGATGCGAGTTGTCTACAGAAGACTTTGACACTATCTGCATCGTCTATCAGCTTCCCCCGAAAATGAGGTCTTACAACGAGCTGATAAGGAAGAATATCCATTTTGTGGAGCACGAGCTGATGGCCTCCCAAGATGAGTATAGAGGTTACATCATTAGTCTATAGTTGAAGCATTCGAACTTAGCTAATTTTCTGTCTTGTTTGTTGCAGATAACTTTAACAAAAAGAGGCCTCTAAAGCCGACCTTCGAGAACATCCAAAGGATGATGGCTGAGGCGAGGGCCCTGAAGAACTCTTCTTCGGCCTACAAGAAACAAATGGAGGACTTGGCAGCTGCCAGTAAAAAGCTCCCTCGGGCCGAGGAGGAGGAGCCCTTGTTGAAGAAGGGCAAGAGGGCAGTCGGCCCCCAAAGGCCCCTACTGTAGCGAGGGTGGCCCCGAGGAGGACAACGATCCCCACAGGGGTCGTGATTGGGGAGAGGTCCACTTGCCTACCTGAGACGACCCTCGTGCTAGCATCTGCTCCCACCTCTACAGGTCCTCCTGCTCCGGCGGCTATAGAGGAGAGGAAGAAGAGGGCTCGTCCTTCGAAGGAGCAGGACTTCTTGGGCTGCACCTCTGAGGAGCCCGTGAAGGAGGTATTGGAGGCACTCCCTTCAGAAACTGCTACTGTGGCCCGGGTCCATTGCAAATACTAGACTGAGGCCTGGAGGGACCACACGTCGTCTTGCTCAGCCGAGGCATTGAGCACCAGTGTCCAACTGGAGGGTCTAGTGAAGGACCTTAGGGCAAAAAACATAGACCTAGCCCAAAGGTTGGAGAAGGCCTCTCTTTATGGAGACGAGGTGAGGGCGGCTTGAGCCCAAGCAGAGGAGGCCAGGAAGGCAAATGAGGAGACAGAGACGAGGGCGGTGAAAGCTGAGGCCACGTCAGAGCAGCTCAAGAAGGAATTGTATAAGACTGAGTGCCAAGTAGCTGCTCTGACAAGGCGGATCGACCATGCCAGTGAGATCACCGCCTCGCGGTGGAGGCCCTTGACGCCTCGAATAAAGAGAAAAGTGAGCTGAGGCAGTGAGTGGAGGCCCAAGTCGAAGAGATTGGCTCTTTGAAGACAGAGGTAAGAACAGTTGGCGAGTCAGCCGTGCATCACTTTATTGACCACTTTGAAGAGCACGAGCTATATGACACCTTCGCCAACTATTGGGCCTCGTGGAACGCCCAGGCTATGTTGCAGCCACTCAGGGAGGTCCATTCGAACTTGAACATTTCAGCTTTGGAGGAAGAGTTCGGTGGGCCTACCGGAGGTCGTTCCAACATAGCCACTACTGAGGAGGCTGTTGCTGCTCCAAGAAACGCTGTTACACGGGGAGACATTGCTCCCGAGGAGGGAGAGGTAGGGGCAGGGGCTATAGTGCCAGTAGAGTAGGATCTATGTTATGGCTTCGGCCTACCTTGTAATTTATTTTGATATTAATGGAATCAAAATTTTACCAAGTATTGTTTCTTCTCCCCTTTACTTTTATGTTGAACTGTTCGTATCTTGATGAGTAAAGTAAATATTGAGCACCACTTACCAATAATAACCAGTTGATGACAGAAGAATTGACCCATATAAAGCACTGAAGAACTGAGGCATCAATTGATTAACCCACATAACATAATGGAGAACTGTGTTATTATAACTTAGGAACTTACATTATCTTTTACTAAGGCAATTCAACATAGTAAGATAGGAATGTTACAATATTGGACAAAATGTAGATCGGATCAGAACATGCACATCACTGATAGTACTTCCTTAAGTGTTCAATGTTCCACTGATGAGGCAGTACCTTCCCTGCCATGTCTTCTATTTCATAAGTACCATATCGGGACTCTTTGCAGATGCAATAAGGACCTTCCTAGTTGGCTTCGATGATTGAAAGGCCCTTCTGAGGACGAGGCCCCCAAATGAAGAGTTCGTTTTCTGACCTTGGAGTTGTAATAAAGGGTCATCTTTTTTTTATACTTAGCCGACTTTATTTGGGAGGAATTCCTTCTTTCTTCAAGGAGGTGAAGTTCGTATACCCAAGCTTCGTCGTTGCCAATCTCATTGAAATATATACGACGATGAGAGAGGACACCCACATCGACAGGACTCATGGCTTCGGATCCTTAGGTCATGGAGAAGGGTGTTTAACCTGTTGCAATTCGACTGGTTGTTCGAATGGCCCAGAGGACATGGAAAAGCTCATCAACCAATGCCCCTTTCGAAGCGTCAAGCTTCATTTTCAGGGTATATGCTTGATAGTCTTGTTCACTGCCTCAACTTGCCCGTTGGCTTGGGAGTGATGAGGTGTTGAGAAGTACTTCCTTATGCTGAGTTTGTCACACAAGTTTCGCATCTTCTTGTTATCGAATTGCCTTCCGTTGTTAAACTCTAAAGAGTGGGGAATGCCGAACCTGCAAATGATGTTCTTTTAGACGAATTTTGTGGTGTTCGCTTCAGTGATTCTTGCTAGAGGTTAAGCTTTGACCCATTTGGTGAAGTAGTCAATGGCAACGATGGCAAAAATAGCGCTTCCTCTCCCCTTTGGGATTGGGCCAATAAAGTCGATGTCCCATTTGACAAACGGCCATGACCTGGTCACACGGAGAGGCCCTGAGAAGGCTGCCTTTGAATGTTTGAGAAGCACTGACATTTGTTACATTTTTGAACAAACTGGCAAGGGTCCCTTTTCAGGGTCGGCCAGAAGTAACCTTGTCGAAATACTTTGTGCGCCAGAGCTGTTCCTCCGGAGTGGTTACCGCAGACTCCCTCATAGATCTCCCTGAGTATATATATGGTTTCTTCCCCTCCGACACATCGAAGAAGTGGCGAGGCGAAGCCCCTTTTGTAGATCATATCATCCTGGAGAATAAAGTGAGCAGCTCTTCTCCTCAATTTCTTCGCTTGGATTTTCGAGGCTAGCAGTGATTGATCATTGAGGTAGGCTACGATGGGTTGCATCCAAAGTGGGGTGCCTTCAATCCATAGTACCTCTTCGTCTCCAGAGATGGAGGGCTTCGGTAGGCGCTCAATTAGGACAATTTTTAGCAACTCCGAATCCCTGCTACTGGCCAATTTGGACAGGGCATCGACGTGTGTATTTTCGAGGCGTGGGACTTCAACCAGTTCGAATCTCTCGAATTGAGGGACTAGGTTCAGAACCAATTTCAGATATACAGCTAAGCCACTGTCTTTGGCTACAAACTTTCCGTTGACCTGACTCACCACAAGCTGTGAGTCGCTACTTGCTAGGAGCCTTTTGACTTGCATTTCTTTCACTCTGAGGCCTGCTCGGAGGGCCTCATATTCCACAGTGTTGTTCAAGGCTTTGAAGTCGAACCTAACTGCTCGTAGTTTAGCTTATGGCCCTCTAGACTTTTTAAAACGACTCCTGCTCCGGGGCCAATTTCTCCTGAGGATCCATCCACATATAGGTTCTATGTTGGGGGCTCGACTGTTTCCATTATCGCCTACATTTCTAGGGCTTTGGCAAATTCAGTCACAAAATCTGCAAGGGCTTGGCCCTTGATGGCATTTCGAGGTCGGAACAGTAGGTCGAACTTGCTGAGCTCGATTGCCCATTTTAGCAAACGGCCCGAAGCGTCTGTTCTTTGCAGTACTTATTTCAAGGGAAAGTTGAAGAGCACTTCAACCAAGTAAGCCTGAAAGCATGGCCTCAATTTTCTTGATGCTGTAACAAGGGAGAGTGCAAACTTTTCCATATCTGGGTAGCGCGCTTGTGCTGGAAGTAGTGCCTTGCTAACATAGTATACCGACAGTTGATGCATGTTTTCCTATCTGATAAGGATCGTGCTGATAGCCTTGTCTAAGATCGCTAAGTACAGTAGCAAGGGTTTTCGTGGTTAGGTTTGGATAGTAGGAGTGCCTCTCCTAAGTGATTCTTCAGCGCTTGGAAGGCTTCCTCGCACTTATCCGTCCATTGGAACTTCCTTCTTTGCTTTAAGACTTTGAAGAAGGGTATGCTCTTGTCAGTGGCCTTGGAGATGAAGCGGCTGAGTGCGGCTATCCGACCGTTGAGGATTTGGACCTCCTTTGGCTTCTAAGCTGACCTCATTTCTAGTAAGGTCCTTATCTTTTTTGTATTCGCCCCGATTCCTCTTTTGTTCACAATATACCCTAGAAATTGGCTCGAAGCTATCCCCAAGGTGCACTTGGAAGGGTTAAACTTCATTTTATACTTTCCAAGAATCTGAAAGGTCTGGTCGAGGTGACTTACGTGTTCTTTCACCTGGAGGCTTTTAACTAGTATGTCATCCACGTAGACTTTCGTAGTTTTACCAATGAGCTCGGCAAACATCATATTGATCAGCCTCGGCAAACATGATATATAGCTCCAGCATTTTTCAATTCGAAAGGCATCACCTTATAGCAATACAATCCTTTGTCTGTGATGAACGATGTGGATTCCTCATCAGGTTGGAACATGGGTATCTGGTTGTACCCTGAGTATGCATCCATAAAGTTCAGGAGCTCGTGTCCAGCAGTGGAGTCCACAAGTTGGTCTATCCTTGGGAGAGGAAAACTGTCCCTAGGACATGCTTTGTTCAGACTCTCCATTTCTCGCTAGGTTTCTTCATGAGGATCGGGTTGAATATCCACTTCGGATAGATGACTTCTCTGATGAAGCCGTTGCGGCTTAATTTGTCAACTTCTTCTTTGAGTGCTTCATATCGCTTTGAGTTGAGGACTAGTCTTTTATGCCTAAACAGGGCGCATGAGGAGTTGATGTTAAGGTGGTGGCAGCTGACCCTTGGGTCTATTCCTATCATATCTTCATGTTTCCAAGCGAAGATATCCAGGTTCCTTTTCAGGAAGTTTATCATTTCTTCTTTCATTTCAGGGGATAGCACTTTCCCAATCCGAAAGACCTGATTGGGGTCTTCAGGGTTGGTGGAAAAAGTTTCTAATTCTTCCATTGGGATCGCATTTGGTTTAGACTCGATGATTCGATGATCCAACTCATCAAGAGGGTGCCCTTCTTCAGGGCCCTCTACCATGTTGACGTCTTCTTCATGTTCGGAGGTATGCCCTTATTCATGGGTGTCATTTATGTATCCACGTCGACTCCGTTGGTGGCCTCTATTAGGATGACATTAACAGTGCGGGGTTCGAATTTTCGCAGAGAGTTGATGTAACATGCCCTTGAACCCATTTGGTCGCCTCGAATTGTAGCAATCCCATGCTCAGTTGGGAACTTTATACATAAGTAATGGATGTATGTAACTGCCCAAAGATCTTTCAAGGCAGGGTCGGCGCAATATTCCATGGTAAGCTGATCTGTGGTTTGCCACTAAGAACTCAATGAAGTGGTGGGCCACTAGGAAGCTGACCCCATCTCGACAGGTAGAGTAATTCGCCCTCGTGGGATGATGCTATTGCCAGTAAATCCAAATAGCGGGGTCAGTCATTAGGATCAATTCATGTTCAATCTGCATTTTATCGAAGGTGGATCCGACCAATATATTCACCGAGCTGCCATTGTCGACGAGTATACGTTTGAGTCCGTTTCGAGCCACTACGGCTCTTACCACTAATGCATCACAATGGGGGTGGTGAACTCCTTGCACATCTTCTTGAGAGAAAGTGATCGGAGCCATCCTGTTCGCCTTTTGGGTCTGATTGACAATGTAAATTATCATTGGTGGATCCTTTACTTTCCTTGTGTAGTTCCTCTTGGCGTTCCTGGTGTTGCCTCCAATGTGAGGTCCTCCAATTATTGTATCAATTTCCCTGATAATTTGGCCTCCAGATGGGGCCTGATCCCTATATCTGGATTCTCCTCTGTCCATAGATTCTCTCCTCCGAAACGATTGGTCTCTATTTCGCCTCTCTCATCTATTCGGGGAATTAGACCTGCGGGGGTATTCATCCCTTCGTGGGTTACTCCGGTTCAAGGATGGAGGAGCATCCCTACATTTGTTGGTGTCGTGTCCGTCAAGTTGGTGAAAGGTGCAAAACCTTGCCCTTTCCAGGGGCCTGTTTGATCGCTTCTTCTTCTTTCGATTGTTGTTTGTTCTCCCGGATGGTCCTGCTTCAACAGGAGCATTTTCATATGCTAGCACTGGTACTGCATTTAGAGTGGTTGAAGCTAATGCCTACCCGGATGTGGGGGCTACTGTGTGACCCGCTTGGGATCATTGCTGGGTGACGAGGTGTGCTGCCTGTCCTTGACCTACTTGTCTTTGAGGTGGAGGGAGTCCCTGCGCTGTACGGTTTCGATGGTCAATCATCTCTTCATTGACAATATCCACTCTCATCATTTTTACTAGTTCGTTATAGATAGTGGGATTCTTGCTACGTATATCCCTCCAGAACAAAGTGTTCATGTTGAGGCCACCTTTCAAAGCTAAAAGGGTCTCTCTGTCAGTGACTTGCTCACAATACGTGATTTTATCAGTGAGTCTGACAAGATAGGTTTTCAACGTCTCGCCAGGAGCTTGCCTCATATCTTGCAGGCGTTACACTGGGGTCTCTCCTTCCATTCGTGAAAGGTATTGGTTCAGAAATGTCTTCTTCAAGTCTAACCAGCTCCTGATACTCAGGGCGGTAACCTCCTGTACAATATTTCAGCAGCTCCGATGAGGATTAAATTGAAGGCTCTACATTTTAGTGCCGGTGAGGCTCCTCTGCGTCATGTACTTAGTCAGGTATTTCTGTGGTTCCCCATTTCCTTCATACTTTGAGATTTTAGAGGGCATGAAGTTTGCAGGCATTGGAAAGCTTCGGATTTCTCTAGAGAATGGGAGGCTATATTATCGTCATCAATTTCGTAGGAGCGACACGGCCCTTTAGAGCTTTCTCCCTCTGATGCATTTTGGGGAGATGAGGGTGCCTCTTCTTGACTATCCCAATCCACTAGGTTTCTCTTCTCCCGTTGATTTCTAGGCAGAGGAGGTACTTGTTCCTATTCTTGCCAAACTGATCTCTGCACGGAGCGGACCCTATTGCTAGGGTTCTGTCATATTTTGTCGAAGACACTAACAGAGCTTTACGGTTCATATTCTGGTGGGAAGTTCTCTCATAGCGGTGGTTCTGCTAATCAGCTCCCCTGTGCCTAGGATGTGACATTCACGCCCACTTCTCTTTCAAAGGAATGTTCTCGGCGCTAGCTCAAATGGCCTAGGCCATGAGACGTAGGAATTTCTTAAGCTGGGTAAGGTTCTTGAGGTATCTGGAAGCCCTAATGACCTCGGGCATGCATGAAGAATTCACGCATCGCCACATTTTGAGTTGCAATGTCCCTCATTTCAGCAGCTATATGTGACATTCTTTCAATGAGTGCTGCTGTCATGTTGCCTCGGTGACGCTGGTGATGGGGTCTTCGATGCGTGACATTGGTCCTGATTACCTCTTCTTCAGAGGCATCCCTGTGCCCTTCAAAATTTGCATCTTCATTACTATAACTCATCTTGTCTACCCTTCCGAGGGTGTTAAGAACTTTGATTGTAGGTTGACTTTGTTCTTTTTCAAGAGCGTGCCCTTTTCAGGGTAAGTCGATAGTTTTTCGACGACTTTTCTGATGAATAATGTGGAACTTTTGGATTGGAATTCCCACAGACGGCGTCAATCTGTTGACCTCGAGAATCGGACCCTCTACGTGGCCAACGGATAGCTACTCTACGTAATCATCCCTGTTCACAACAACGCATGGTTAGAAGCATACGGTCAGAACCAGTGATGTGGCGATGGCCGCATACACTCCGACGGTCAAGTCAGCGTTGGGTGATCGAAACAGTGCTCAAATTGTGCAAAAGGGTGAGAGAAGAATATATTTTTCTTAGTATGAAGAACTAAGTTGTTAAGAGTTTCATTACCTTTCTCTTGCCAAACCTTGAGTATTTATAGACGTAGAGCACCGTTGGATGTGGGACGCGTGTATATGTCTAACGATGTGAGGCATCCGCTCATAGGCATCAATCAACCGCGTCTAAAGTGGGCAAACAATTAGTTCTTCTGAGTTGAGTTGACATAAAGTCTATATGTCACATCAACTAGATCTATGGAGACGTCACATCAATTGATCATTGGAGGTAGAGGGGATCTTGACAGATATCTTTCTGACAGTGGTGGTTGAGAGATCTGTTAAGGGGGTACCTCGAAGTGCTCGACGCTTCGGAGTTGAGGGAAACTTCGGTTACTTCAGTGGATCTGCTCTTTACGTTGCAGCGTGTCATGTCAAGGTCGTCAGGAGTGGGCATCACTTCGGAACCATTTTGGATGGACACGTGTCACTTCGGAGAGTAGTGCGACTGTTGTTCCGAAGTGGTTTGGTTAGGATGGAGATAGGTCACTTCGGAGAGTGGTGTGACTGTTGTTTCGAAGTGATTTGGTCAGGGGTGTAACATTATTCATTGAAAAATTATGTAAAATGGACGACATATGCAAATGAAAATAAAGATTAAGAATTGAATGCATAATTTTTCAACGAAATAAAAAATGTGTGCAAGAATTTGAAACATGGCATGTATGGTCACAATATGAGACTTTTACCACTAAGCACAAACATTTTCTCCTTTGCTCCGCTCTTGGACTCGACTAGGGTCAAATATGAGGGCATTACTTTTTCATATTTCATACAGAATATCAAAAATCTCACGATCAACTCTAAACTCAACTATTACAAAGTCAACCAAAAAAAGATAAAATTGACGAACTAATTGATTCCAAAGAACAAAACTAAATATAGCAAAAGTTGAAAAGTCTTTCTCAATTCTATTAAATTTTAATCAAAATAAAGCGAAACAAACACTATTTTTCACGATCAAATAAAAATCTACTTACTTAAAACTAATTACATATCGCCCCTTAACACTTCACACAACACCTATCAAATTGAATAAAACTCGCACATCAATATCATTTGTACAACATCAAAGACCAGAAAAGAAAAACAAATCAAAACCTCACCCCTTGCCCCATCACACTGCAAATAATTAAGAGTCCTATCCTACGACGAATTCTCCTATTGAGATACTTTTATCATCTGTGTTTTAATCTCACTAAACGAATGTTTAGAAGTGCAATATAATTCTAATAAATAATGGTTTTGGTTTTATGTCATTCATTATATTTTTTTTTGAAACAAGTTAGGAAAGTAACACTAATTATGATCCATTGCCAATTTTTCCTTCCTCCCGTCACTTCATTCATCAAGGAAAAATGATATTTGGCTTGCCGACGTTGATGGATCGAAAATATAATTTGAAATTGAAATTGAGTATTGAGTATTGATTTGAAGCAATTTAAAGCCCAGTAATGAAATTGAAACAAGTGTAAAAAGTTCAAAGGCCATTCAACGTGCGAACCCAAATCAATCATATCCAATACGATGGATATTCGAGTTTTTTTTTTTTTTTTTTTTTTTTTTGAGATGTCCCATCTTGCGCGGTTTTTGTGTTTTTTTTTTTTTTTTTTTTTTTTTGTTTTTTTTTGTGTCAAATATTCTACAAGAATTAGCCTCCATTTGGTAGCCTTTTTTTACCTCGCAAAAATTAATTTTTTAACCGTTATTTTACTATTTTAGTCGTCATTTTTTACTTCTTCATTAACAAATGAGACCTATTTTTTTTTCTAACAATCAAAAAATCAATCCTCACAATCAATCTCCCCACCCATGTAGCCAAGTTGATTCTACATTTGTAAAAAAAGTATTAAATAATGATAAGCATGGGATTCGGACCATGATTTTGTTGAATGAATACGACAATTTTACTGGTGTAGTGGACCAGCGTTTGAATTCCATGACCAAATCTGAAAAGTAGAAAAGTCGCTTACCATAGCGCCGCCCCAAACGTGATTGTACAGTTACTACGTGTCATCTTCTTATTCGATAAGAATCGCACCAATAAAAAGAATCTGAATCATGCAACATAGACAGAAAATTTGACATAATAATGTACATAATATCACATAACAATGCTGCTCAACCAGGTGCAAAATCAGGCTCCACCTCGGCCCTTAGATCTGGAAGAAAAAAAAAAAAAGTAAATGAAATTGACATCACCTCAGCTCCTGTTTTTGAGCCCACACTCACCTATATCATCCAATCAATTCCAACCATGACATCTTCGGTCACGATATCTAACAGGATTTTTCAATCAAAGTAGCAAAGCACCGACGGTATTATTTGCATTACACGTGGCCACTTCTTAGCATAGTCGGATTTTTCTTTGTATCTACATGTTTCTATTTAGTAGTCAAATTCTGATATTCTTTTGTTGAAAAATTAGATAGAATTGGTGGGTCGAGACTTGACTACATAATATTGGAGGGAAACGTAGAATTAATAAATTTAAGAGTCATATAGATACAACTACACTGTTACTTGACATGTTAGACTTATCAAGAAAAAAATATTAAGATAAAATAATTACAGACAATACTAAAAAAATATAATACATAGTTAATTATAAACATAGAGAAATGCGATACTTTTAGATCTATAATTGACATATAAACGAGACAAAAATATGAAAAGCTTTCATGTATACGAGCTACAAAGAAAATGACTATGTTGATAGGGGTAAAATAATTTAAAATACGAAAATTAATCTCTCTTATGAGACCATTATGTGAGGAAAAAATGAAAATTAAAGAAACATTTGCAAATCATGAAACATCTATTTCCATGTTAAATTTTGGTCCGTCAACATGCCTAAAGTATTTATTTTCTTATTTATTTTATTGTAACATTTAATATAAATTATTAGTGATGTGTATGTATTTCACCCTTGATGTAACGAGAATCTTTGTGTTCATCTCCTTAAGTGAAGCCTTTGACGAAGTAGGCTTAGAAGTCACCCATGTCTGTAAGGAAGTCTTCAAGGATATTATCTTATCAAGTCCATAGAACCCCGTGCTTGAGGGATCAATGAGAATCTTTTAGATGAATCTCCTTGAAGAAATGCGGTTGCTCAAAGAAGCGAACTCAAAGGATAAAACAACTAAACAAGTAGTCATGTAGACCAATAAGACCACAATACATGGATTAGGACAACACGCCCAATTTTTGCTTCATGAGTTTCTTCTCCAGTAAATACAAATATACGAGTAGAAGGTAAATATATCTTTTTTATTATTACCGAAACTTTGGCCGAATCTTTGCTGCATGTCTGTCTCACATTTAATTTCCTCATATATAATATGTAGTTTGTAATAACAGTTGATTTCATCGTAGAAGTATCGACGGTCGTCAACTCTTTTTTCTTCTTTGGCTCGATGATCTTGGTGCTAATTCGTCCTAGTGTGCAAGAAACATGCAGGTCAACAAGGGTGTGGTCGGGTTCTAGGATTTTTTTAGGTCAACAATTTGCGTAGAAAACTATTAACAAAAAATTTTAAAATTTATTTATATTATATTTTCTAATGGTATTTATTATAATATTGTGTAGTAAAAAATGTTCGAAGAAATCTAGTCGAACGGACCGTTAGCATTTATTGAAGTTCTTATTCTCTTTTATTAATATTTGTTTAGTACAATAATTGATTATTTCATAGTATTTCTATATATATATATATTAAAAAAAACAATAATTGGTCTAGTGGCGTAGAAAGTTGTTAGGTGGTACCGACCGTTAAATGAATGATCAAAAATAGCTTTGGACCCACAACTATAGGCAACATTTTTCCATCACAGATTAATCATAGAAACATTCATTTTAAGGTAAAATGTGTGGCCCTCTTTGGTCTTTGTTCATCTATGATTCTTTCTCCTTTTGATAAATTTGTGATTTCGTTGTTGTATATGTCGGTAATTGATAACGTGTCACGTACGTGTTTACTTATCTGACAATAACATATTATCGCATTATATAATGATTTTTATCCATTAATTATTATATATTAGACGTATAAATTCAACCAATATCATATTCCAACCCCAACCCCAACCCCAACCCCAAGCCACTACCTAGTCGTGACCATTTAGTCTCTAACCCTACAATTGCTCCAATCTTTAAACCTATGGACATTTAATGATGGGATTTTTTTTTTATACTGATATATTTAAAATATGTAGCTGCTATGCACCAATCATTAGTAGCCTATCGATCTAACATGACACGATAATTAACAATGAGAAAGGTGTTATAATGTCTATATGACTCAAGCTATTGAACATGGAACTCAAAATATTCTCACCTAGGTAGAGAGTTGAAGGCTTGACTCGACTAAGAAGTCGCAATGTCGAAAAGCTTGATAGATGATTCTAACCAAATATGGAATTAAACAAAAATAGGTCGTTGTGACATGCTCACAATTATGTAGTACATCCAACCTATCCAGCGCGCTACAAATACGATTTCAGAATGTAAAAGGGTATTGGCACAATTTTCCATTTTTGATTTTACCAACTTCTTTTGTGCTAAACTATTAGCTTTTATATATTATTATTAATATTTTTCTTAACAAATGATTAATTTAATTGCCCAATAAGGTTGTCTCTTGATCAACACATTTAATAGCATCACAATTTTGTCCAATTAAAAGATTAAAAATATGACAATGTTATAATATTTTTGGTACGACGTACATGATAATATTAATATTTCAATGAACATCTATTCAATATTGACATTTGAATACGACATATTATTTTATAATTTCAAATGACTTTCTGATTAGTCTGTTTTAAACTTCAGGGAGGATTAATATGTAATATTGATTTCATGTTCATTTTCTTATATTTTATTTTATTCAACCTTTTTACCAAAAATATCTTGAATTTCACCTCCTCGTATGCATAGAGCCGAAAAGGCTCTTTGTTTTCTCCTCCTCACCCATAAAAGAGCACCAAATAATGGATTATGATGCATCATCACTGTCCGGTTATCTCAGCTCAACTCGTCGGAATCTTATCATTTTCCGACAAATAAAGTCTGTTTTCCGTCAAATTTTTCTGTTTCCAGCCTAGTGAGACCTATACTTTCTTAACACTTTTCGCCTCAAAATTTAAGGTCTTTTTCCTTTTCAATCTATTTGACATAATGGGTGTGTTTCTTTGATCAAAACTTTTAGTCTTCGTGCAAGTTCCGCCTTGTTTGCTTTTACTGTATAAAGAAGGAACACTGAACAAAAAGAAGGGGCGTTGTGTAATTAATTATTATCTTTGATGACCTGAAAAAAAAAAATTATTGGATAAAGTATTTTATCCAATCGATCTGTTACAGATTAGTTCTGTCTGGTTTCTTGATTGTTTTGGCACAAGTTGCAGAGTTTAAGAAAATAGTAAAGAGTATTCTGATTTCTGGGCTTTGTGTTTGGATCTGTTTTGAAAATTTCCAAATTCTGTACAAGAATGATGTGATCATGTCTACATGTAAATTATATGCCTATTTATGTGATTTGAGTATGATTTGAATCTGCGTTGATAAAGAATTGTGCCTGTGAAGGTTATTGGTGGTGGTGGAGGTGTGATATGGGGCATTTGTCGTCGATGTTCAATGGATTAGCAAGAACCCTTTTGACCAAGAAAACGAAGAGTTTGAAGAAAAAATCTGGGAATTCTGATGCCAAAGAAGCTGTTGAATCTATGATAAAAGATGCAAAAAAGAATGACTTGATATTGAGATCATCAGGCATTGTAAATATCAACGGGTCTAAAAATTTTGCTTCTGTACTCTCAAAGAGAGGGCAGAAAGGTGTGAATCAAGATTGCTGCGTCATTTGGGAGGTATATTTAACTACAAAAATGTGGCTTTCTTTGAGGTTTTTTGGTGATAAATAGGATGTTTTATTTACGGTTGTAGGAATTTGGATGCCAAAATGATATGATATTCTGTGGGATATTTGATGGGCACGGTCCGTGGGGACATTTTGTGGCAAAGAGAGTTAGAGAGTTGTTGCCATCGTCTCTTCTTTGTAATTGGCAAGAGATGCTTGTTGAAGCTTCACTTGATCCAGATTTCGATGTAGAATCGGATAAAAAGCTTCATAAATTCAATATATGGAAGCATTCCTACTTGAAGACATGTGCTGCTGTAGATCAGGATCTGGAGCATCATCGTAAAATCGATTCATTCAACAGTGGAACCACCGCATTGACAATTGTTAGGCAGGTAATAAAAGTTACTTATTTTTTGGCTTGCATTATGATAACTAATCCTTAGATGACTTTTACTCGCGGCGAAGACAGGATAGTAGAATTGTGGGGGGCAAATATCACAAAATTTTAATTGTGGGGGCAAAATTGAAAATTGTAAGGAACTTTTTTGAAAATCTTGTGTAAAATCTTGGATTTCAAATTTAATATGGGGTAGCGGACCCCACTGTGATCTGCTCATGCTAGCGAACATGCTAGCAGGCTTGCTCGGCTGATGCATTACAAAATTTGAGATGTCAAAAAGAGGAGCAAGTTTTTTAGAATTTGCTCTTTTTTATTAAAAAAAAAAAAATTATATCAGAATTGATGTATTGGCCTAAAGAGAGAGATGCTAGGTGTACATAAAGATTGGTACGTCATGGCGACCTCCAACTCACATGAGGTGGGGTCCACCCAAATAATGGGGTGGGGCTCACCCGAATATTTTATTTGGGTGGATCCCATCCCATGTGAGATGATGGACGCCTTTATGGACCAATTTTTATGTACAACTATCTTTATTTTGGCCTAAATCAGTGATGTTCTTCCAGGGAGAGCTTGTTTTCATTGCAAATGTTGGTGACTCTCGTGCCGTATTGGCCACCACTTGTGACAGTGGCAACTTGGTACCGGTTCAGCTTACTGTCGACTTCAAGCCTAATCTTCCCGGTTAGTGTCTCTCTTTCCCCTCCCTCCCTCTCTGCCTCTCTATGGTCTGATATTGGAGAATCATATGACTGCTACGATGTGTGCAGAGGAGGCTGAGCGGATAATTCAGTGCAAAGGCAGGGTATTCTGTCTGCATGATGAGCCCGGGGTTCATAGAGTGTGGTTGCCGGAAGAGGAATCTCCTGGACTAGCAATGTCTAGAGCATTCGGGGACTATTGTGTTAAGGATTTCGGACTTATATCCGTCCCTGAAGTGACACAGAGACATATAACGAGTAAAGATCAGTTCGTCGTGCTGGCAACAGATGGGGTATGTATGCCTTGTTATCTAATCAGGATTTGCATAGATACTGATTGCTATAGCTGCCTAGAAAATGCTTTTTGTACATGACTATTTATATAATATTTTACATAATGATGAAGTGCCAAAATGTAAGTGGAGAGATTATTAGATTGATGAGATTTTTATTCAATTAACTTTCGTCACGTTATCTATTGATAAATCATTATGTACATGTAGCATAGTCCTGACTGTCTTTACAATTTATGTATTTTGCTGTACTGTAGAACACTTAAAAATGATGATACAGTAATGAACTGCTCTTTCTTATGAAGGTGTGGGACGTCGTATCAAACCAAGAAGCCGTGCAAATAGTATCGACAACTCCGGACAGGGGAAAATCGGCTAAGCATCTGGTCGAGTGTGCCGTCCGTGCATGGAAGAAAAAGAGAAGGGGAATAGCTATAGATGACATATCAGCAATTGTACTCTTCTTTCATTCTTCCCATTTGTGTGAACAAATTAATCCTGTATCTACTGAAAAATAATTCCATTAAAAGGTTCAAATACTTGCTAACTCTACTATTCTTATCCTGATTATATCCATTCAAAGTAAAAGGGGATCAAATACAAGAAAGCAATGAGAAAGGATTCATGTGGTTGACTCTAAATCTATTAGTACTCTATTCTAAGTTTACGTCGATTTCACTAGGGCGTAACCCTGCAGTTGTAGCAACCATTGCTTCGAAATGACACCGGAAAGTACCACAAAATTGATAAAAACGAAAGATGGGCTCTTGGAAAAACTGATTCGTGTTTGAAGGTGCATAACTTAGCTCCACAACACAATGAAGAGAACTTGCGAAAATTGTTTAAAGCAAAACACAAAACCAAAGGAATTTGCAAGCAAGGAATAGAAACGATTTCCACACAAATTTTGGTGAAAAATAAATATACGCTATTGAGAACTGAATGAATGACCAAAATTTACAATGCTGAATTACATTCTCAGAATTTAAATTTCCCTTCAGTAGACCACTTCTTTATGTTCAATAATTCTGAATCCAATATTCTTATATACAAAAAACTAGCTATACATCTACCAATGGCTACATTTAGTATGCCCTCACTAGAAACTGTAAACAGTAAAATCCACTCGCATTTTTGTTCTAGGAACCCTAGATGCTATCATTATAAAGAACCATCAACAAGAACTAAATCCAATCACTTTTTCTTTCCGCAGAACCCGAGATGCTGTCGGCTTCTAGCAAGTTGTAGATTCTTATCCAAGACCTAATGATCATGTTGTTCAATGATACCCGTGTCCAGTGGAACACTTGTGGAGAAGCGTAAAACTCGCCTTCAGTAAACATTGGTCTGAGATCTTCTTCTTGACTCATGAACTCCAAGGAAAAGAAACAAGAAATCCTTTTACGAATTTTAACTTTGCCAACGAGTCAAGATTTACATGTTCACCATTCTGATAGGATTCATGCAATGAAGAAGCTACTCCAAAGTCTATGGTGGTGTGCCCAGGTTTTTGTTTCCATTGACTAACACTTTGTCTAAGTGAAGATCTGCAGTTAATAAAAATGCGGAAAAATATAAGTCAAAAGCATAGAAGAAAATGAGACATAAAATGAGAATACAGACTTCTAAAGAGGCACCTGGAGAGTATGAGGTCAATGGGAATGCAAGAGAAAACGTCATGGTATATTTTTGTATTTGAATGGAAAAGGGAAAATAAAGCTGCTCAATAAAGGAGAGACGAAAATGAAGAAGTAAAATAGACAGAGTAGCGATGATGTTTTTCTTTCTCAAATATAGATCCGATTATAAGATTTGTGCAAGAATAGAATAGAGCAAAACCATATGTACAGAGGAGTTCTTCACAGAACTTCTACAGAACAGACCCACGAGGTCTGTCCCACACGGGAGTCATGGATGATAAAAAATTGCAAAAAAATGCTGACCTCCCCCGTTTGAGTGTAGTCTATAAAGACTCTGTAAGTGTCCATTCTGTACGTGTAATACGGCTCAGTAGAATATTACAATAAGAGAAAACCGCAAAAGCTCGAAATGACATGTAGTGTTGAAATGATATGAAGGACAAAAACTAATTGCTTTCCAATACTTAGAATAACTCTAAAATTTATTAGCTGTTACTCCAAATTTAAACACAAGCATGCATGTAACAACATATACCTACATGAAACTTCAAGTTGTGAAAGAGCACCATAGTTTTGTTATGAGCACCAAGTTTACTTCTCTAATGCCAGATCAAAATCTATGCAAAGTTTATGGCCAGATATTTAATACTGTTCTCACCTTTGCAGTTCTACCCAAAATCCTTGAATGTATAGCCAGCCATAGGGTCTCTTATTCGACTAAGCTGGAGAAGGGGGAGCAAAAATTTAGTGCCATAAAATTTTAAACAGCGTGTAAATTTTTCGTGACTGTACTCACCTCTTCAGTTTTTAAAACTAGGTGCTCTTCCCACAAGTAGGCTCAAAGAAAATTTTCCAGCTATACAGGGCTTCTCATTCATTGATGACTCGACAAATTCCGTTTCTTCAATCAAGACCGCAATCTGAATATCATGTTAGATATAAAATCCACCAATTAATGGTTAAAATGATGACGTAATAGGCAAGTCATGGAGTTCGAAGGAAAAATGAGGAAGATGAAACAGTTGCAAAGTTGGAGCAAAACTTCATGTATACGACATATAATACAGGATAGCTCAGTAATATGTATTTCAAGCCTTTTGACATTTCAAAGGAATTTTTACCGGATGTCTTCATTGTTGATAATAGGGCACTGGAGCATTTGCTTGGAAAGATGAGAGTAATTTATGGAAATACAAATTCCAGCTCTCTTAAAAAGGTTCCCTTATTGATACTATCTCATAAATTTATTTATTTATTTATTTATTTTATTTTTTTGAGAAAGCCTAACAAGCTAGGGATGGAAAATAACGTCGGGATGTTTTACTTATTTTAAAAAATTTTAAATGTATGCCTCAAGCGATGGCCAGGCATAGGGTCTACATGTACATTTTAGCTGCATGCTCGGGATATGACCTTACGCTAAAGTGTTAGAGTTTATTTAGCTGTATGCCTTAATTGCGTGCTTGGGGCACGATCTTACTAAATGTTGAATTACAATTTTTCCCTTCTGAAATTGACTAAAATGTGGTAAAAAATAATTTTTCCAGTCAAAATCACTTTTTTAGGTCAACTAATGAAAAATTGGACAGATTCCATCCAAAATGGCCTCAAATGCAACGTTTTAAAAGGTTTGGAATGACGACTGCAACAAATGAAAAGTTAGGAAAAAATCTGCTAGTGTTTAAAAGATTTGGGTCTTTTGCTGCAATTATCCCTTTAATGAATGCTATTTGTACTTCACCTTCGAATTGATGATGTCACGGAGAGGAGGAAGAAAAAAAGAAAAACAAGTCAATTAATATAATCAACATCATCAATATGTGCACAATAATGTACAAGTAATATTATGCTTGAGATTTTGCAATTAAATTGTCACCTAAAAAAAAAAATTGAAATACCCTATTTGTAACCCTTTGTGCGTGTGTGTATATATATTCAGAGACTTGGAAAGTTATGAGAGAAATGATAAATCAACCTTACATAAAATACAGCAGATCGACTCTGAAGAAATATAAATCTTGAATACTGGAGATAAAATTGGCAAAAATGCAAATAACCGATTTGTGTGTTGATATACTTGGAACATTTGATATGATCATTTGTGCTTCTAATCTAATCGTCTTTATCTTGGATCAAGCAAGCAACAAAAGTCGTTAAAAATGACTCAATATTTATTTTAAGGCACCCTTTCTAATACTGCAAGTCAATTTGTAGTTATGCACTGGATGTATCATGTAAGGTTAATACATTTCACTTCTTTTTGTACTAGGTTGATTCTTCAACTGAATCTCCAATTTCGGCAATTGCAATGAACCTTGGCAAGTGATGCCATATAGTCATCAGACCTGAAATCAGCACTAAATCAGATCATCTCGAAAAGCTAATAATTCTTACTGACTCGTTTTTCGAACTATCAAACCTTGATCCATACGAAGATTGACATGCGGCAATTAAGTGAACTTTTGCTGCATCTGCCTCATTCTGCATTGGAGGAAGTACAAATTAAGTGTCATAAACAGAGCATTAGTTTAGAAGCTTAAGGTTCAGACGCAAACCTGAGCTTCGTGATACAAGCCTGCGTATAAGGTAGCATAGAAATATTCATGTTCCCGTCCATTTGAAAATGCTGTAACGAGCTACGCAGAGAAACCAATTACTCAGTTTAGAAGAACCCCTTGAAAATAAATCCAAGTGCTTCATGTAACGTGTAATTCTATTAAAAGAGATCATCACATCTGCATTCAGAAATTGTGAAAAGCTTAATGTAATTTCATCTATCATGTGTGACGCAAGAACACCTTATATTTTAGGGAAAATTGCAGCAGTGGTCCCTAACCTTTTCATTTTTTTGTGGACTTTGTCCTAACTTTCATTTTGTGCCAACGGAGGTTTCTAACCTTTCATAAATATGCACCTGAGGTCCATCTGAACGGAAACCGTCCAAAAGACTGTCAGTTGATCAGAAAAATTAAGGAATCAAAATCCAATAACATCGTCCAAAAATGTATCAACATCCAATAAAATCATCACGGTAACAGATAGTTCAAGAAATTTTCTTGGTTAGCTGATGGTATTTTGGACGGTTTCCGTTCAAATAGACCTCAGGTGCATATTTATAAAAGGTTAGGCGCCATCGCTTGCACAAAATGAAGGTTAGGGTAAAGTCTGCAAAAAACAGAAAGGTAAGGGACCGCTACTGCAATTTTCCCTATATTTTATCTGAAAAAGTTTGAAAAATCGAAGTTGGAAATGATAACAAAATAATAAGGAAATAATGCATTTATCTCTTAGTGAAAGACTCGGGTGAGTCAACTTTCTAGACCAAGAGTTGCACAATGACATGGAAGACATCTTAGCCAGTGTCCTCGAATCAATACCTCTAAATACTGAAAGTAAAAAACTGGGTATTATGATGTTTTTCAAACAAACCTATGAAGTTTCTCTACTAATGAGATATTCTTCACAAAACCCTTGAAGTTGCATTGTGGAGTAAGTATTGCAACTTACGTTTTAAGGAAAATTAACAGAACAATACAAAGAATTGCAGAGTATTACACCTATGTTTAAGGAAAATTAACAGAACAATACATAGATACATGGTGTGGCTACACTTCACATTCCATGTTTCCAAAAATTACAAAATACACAGTATGACTAGAAACGAGCCAACATGAATGGGAATTATAAAATGACTAAAATACCCTGCACACACACACACACACACACACACACACACACATGTGAATAAAATATTTTTGACAAGTCATGTCCTTTTTTTAGTTTCCTTATTTCATTTGTGGTTATATAAGTACACATGATAAGAAGGTCAAGCTGAAGAAGCTGAGCTCAAGCCACAAGTAAGACAAAGTCAAGATTCCAAGTAAGGCAACATAGTACGAAACTAAGGCACTCAGTTAGGAAAAGATCAGCACAACAGGCGCTCAATTTCAGGGTTTTGCAAGTTCCGAGAGGGCATTAAACTTACAACATACGTTTATATCACATGACATCAATCCTCATTCCCTTATATATAAACTTCCTGGATATTCCATTCCAGGTGCGTGCAATCTAACTTAAACTCCAATGGAATTCTCCCAGATATATAGTAATTGACTAGGACTGTCAAAGTGGACTCCTCCACCACACCCGTAGTAATCAAGCTTACTTACGGACCTCTGTGTTGCATATTTGTCCGAGCTAACTAGCTACCCAGCAGATCAGAGGTCAGTCGACATTATAAGCAATTATCTCTAAAGACTGTTTGGAAGCTTGATGTCAAGGATCTATAGGTGTTTATTGGATCTTATTAAGCCCTTGTTTGGTGCCCATTATAATGAGAAATTTGGTAAAATGTATTATGGAATAATAATTTTTGGGATAATTTGTGATTAAAAAAGAATGAAAAGTTTTTTAGATCGGACTAATGACGTATACAATACTTGAATTCTATGTGTAATGTTATTTTATTGGAGAATGTGTGATTGAAACGAAGAGAAAGAAAAGTGTATTAAAATTTTAATGGGGCCAAACAAGGGTTAAGCTATTTAACTGTTCAAAAAAGGAAAAATAAGTCTGAATATTGCAGCAGGGGAAGGAAAAGAATGATTAAAACAATTCCACATAAACACAATGCTCTCAGTAGAATAAAGAGATTACACAATTATTTCTAAGTTGCTGATACTCCAAACTATACACATGAAATAGCTGCTGCATCTCAACTTTCTACTTCTATGCTAAGGAAGTGAATGCAAGTGTGTCTGCTTTATGGTAGGTTCAAAAGGAAAAGAAAGGGGAATAAAAGGGATGAGTATACAGAAAAAAACATCTTATAAAGGATTGAAATCAGGAACTTGGAATGTTTTACTAGTAAAATAATGTTGGGAATAGCAACAGAGCATTCACTGTTTTAGGTTAATTGAAAATCAAGAAGAATGTCTCTCACAGGGTTCAGCTCCCAAAAGGTACTAAACTTTAAAGATGTTAACTGATGATAATTTATTCTCAAAAGATTTTATGAAATTCCATTTCTTAAAATTAGAAAATTCAGCAACTAGCAGTCTATAATTATACTAACACACTGGAAGAATCCTTTCCCATGAGAACTGTTTCCAAACTTGATACACAGTGTCCTGGTAGCACTTTGAGGTTAACACAGGGAGTTTGTCTTCACAAAGAGAAATGAGGTGAAAAACAAAGTTTGCTACTCATAAAAATTCTTTTCGAACTACATTGGCTATTTGGAATTGAATAAACTTGCTGAATTCACCTTTTCTGGGTCTCCACCATCTTTAAACAAATTGTATGCTTCCCGCATCACGGGTCGTGGATCTCTGCCAACCTGAAGTCAGCACATAAGTAGTTAATATCAATCCTCTTATGTCACAGTACACGAGCATGATACTAGGCAGAAAAATGCCTTTAGGAAACTGTTAATGGACAAATGGATGATAATAATGCAGATCATATACGATCTTTATTGGGTTAAAAGTAATGTTACTTATCAAACTTAAGAGTGTTGTGTCACCTTAGAGACCCACCCTTTGTCTATCTCTGTTAGTAATGTTAACGAAACTGGTCACGTGGCTAGTGGAAATAATTACGTAGCATTAAAGAACTCATTGACGTTATGTGCAGTTTCACTGTTCAGGCCCAAAAAAAATTTCTGAGCTGGTCGCCAACACATCATGCTTCATTATTTTGCTGAGCTGGATGTGAACAACAGTAAATTAGTTGATTTTACGTCCAAATCATATTTTCGTGAGCCAAGTCATAAATTTCATGAGCCTTGTTATCATTTCCACTAACATAGTTAACAGAGACAAATGAAGCCTAAATTGAAATGAAAGTCAGCAACTATGTCGGAAGAACAAATAGTTCGGTGAAAATGTGACTTGCACTTCATTTCGGCAAAGGAAGTGGCAGTTAATACTTTAAATACAGCCAGCCAATTCATATGTCAAGCGACAGTAAATCGGTTTTCCCAATCTCAAGGAAACATTCATTTCAAAGACAGTTAGGTACTGATTATTTTTCTTAATCGTTTATTCACCTCGAGAAATCGTCTTCTTGCTTCATCAACTCCATATAGCTTTGCTTCACAGAGAAAGCACCATATTGACTCTTCTGTATCATTTGGATTTTGTGCAACATCTAATCTAAATTGCTCCGCGCCTTCTTCGAACCTAAGGAAATGGACTCGCAGATCAATTGCTTTTATGTAAAAGAACAAAGAAAAATTAAGTAAAATTAAATCACTAATTACCTATCTAGGTAGTATAATGTTAATCCCCTCTGCCAGAGATCTGATTACCAAATAAACAGTAGGCATCACTAAACATAGGATGAATAGTCTCTTTAAACACAGTAATCATCCCAACTTACAAAACGAAAGTTTAATGGGTATTGTCAGGAAATTGGAACGCAATTACGCAAGTATTTAATTAGAAATGAAATGTATCTATAACATTTGTAAATTTTTATTACTACGATAACTAAACTTGAATTGATACTCTAATTAATTAAAAATAAATAAAATCACCAATATTAGGTGATGCTTTAAAGAAAAAGAGAACAACTCACATGCCTTTTGGCGAGGATCAAGTTCAATTGCCTTGTCAAATTCCACTAAAGATCCCAAAACATCACCCTGAACAATCAAAATAATTGGTCCAAAATGACAACTGTACAAGTTTAAACTATGGAAGCATAAATTACTATCCTAATACCTGTCTGAATAGAAGCATTCCACGTCGAATCGCCAAAACGGCTTCACGAGCAGAATTTCCACCAGCTAAGGCATCCCAGAGCCCAGAAACAGAAGGCAAAAACAGCCTCCTTGAGAGTGTCGTTAATGGGGTTTGATGGGTATGAATTCTTGAAAATGTGGTGCCAAACAATTGGGATTTATAATTAGGGATGTTTAGTGAGATCGAAGGTTTACAGAATAAGGAAGAGTGGGAAGAGGAGATTATAGGCATATATAGTTTGTGGATAACTGCCATTGATGAAGAGGACACGAAAATTGGGAGCGAGATAAATGATAAGGCGCGCAAGACAATATTTTAGACCTTTACAAACAAAAAATAATCACCACTTTGAATTAATAAATAAATTCTGGACAATTGTAAAAAATTAACAAACCATTCTATCCTAATAATATTTTTTTTAAATATAATGTAAAATTCCGACATCAATTTTCAACTACACAATTCATTAATTTTTATTAAAACCTGCTAAAAATTTGATTATAGCAAAACTAAACAGGGGCTTAAGATGCCAATTTGTACGTCACGCCGTGTTTAAGATTTTTTACTTGATCATTCATCTTTTCAATTTTTCTCAAGAAGTTATAAGAAGTCATCTTCTTGTCGAAGTCAAAAGATTTCAATTAAATTTAACATTTCAACAACCTTAGGTATTTTACGGCTGTCATCATCATCTTTGTCCATCTCTACCACACTATTATTATTTTGTCTTGTGAGGCCATCTCCAGTCCTCAAATAATTCCACCATATTTCACCATTTAGAAAATCGTTTCCAACCTAATACATTGTTCATTCAATGTAATTTTTTGTGTATTGGGTTGGATATGATTTTCAATTTGGTGCAATAATTGGTACAAAATTCACCTTAAATTTGATGTTACATTGGAGATGACCTCATTATTGATGATATCCTCTTAGGTTGGAGTTCAACACACTTCTTATGGTGGATGGTTAAGTAAATTATTAACATCCATAAGACATCTGTAGTGGAAGCTATGAATTTATTGTTCTAACTTATGAGAAATAGTTCACCTATCCACGGTGAATAGAATAAGACCGTCCACTTGTTAATGTGGCGGGAGAACAGGAGTGCCTACTCATAGGCTGTCCTCAAAGTCTCTCTCAACTTCTTGGACTGAATGCACAATGCATTTTGCAATAAAAGAAACAAAAAGTAATGGTCTTATTGGGATGTGTCCAATAATGCAAGGACATAACTTTAATTTTTGGTAATTCGTCTTATCAATTACTAAATATTTCTTATTTATTTCGGTTAAATTATTTATTGCATAAGAGAGTAAGTGATCAACGGTACTTGATCTGGCAAAGTTCTTTGCAAAATGCTGCTCATCATGGTAGCCTTTGAAGTTGACATCTTACAATTAGGAGCAATAACAAAGAAGATAGAAATGAGAGAAATTCAAGAAGAGGAGAGATGGATATGAAACAAGAAGAGATTTTTCATTTTTTTTTTTATTTTTTAAACAAAGGGAAGTCTGTGAAGATATATTTGTAAGGAAATTTCTGAAGGAGCTTATTAACACATTTTAAGATTTTAAAAAGACGTGAAACATTAATTTATTGCATTTTTTTAAGACAAAATAACCATTTACAAGGTAAAACTCTTCAAATTAATAATCCCCTTTGAATTAATATCCTCGTGGGTACAAGAATATTAGTTTAAAGGGTTCTAACGTACTTTGAAGCTGGGAACAAAATATTTTTGATAACTTATTTTCCTTTATTATTATTGTTGACCACAAAATATGTTGTCAACAGATATCGGACCCGTCCGCGCATACATAAATCTATTTCAACACGCTAAGACACGTGGACGGTCTAGAAATAATAGCAAAAAAGGGGCGTGAGAAAGACTCAAAGGCGCGGGACGAGAATGTTCGGAATCTGACGAGATGTTTGTATAACGATTGTACAATAATTATCAATAGATGTTTGTAGAATGCGAGTATGAATTCATGCATTACCCTTGTGAGAGATACATGGGGAGTTTTTATAGTATTACAACTTAGATCGTGGCCTTTGATTGGGAGTACACGTGACCTTATCTCGTAAGTTTACATGTCAAATCATAGGCATCACATTTGACTTCCTAACTTGCTACACATTTATTATTTGGCGGCTCTACCACTATATTGACAAGATAAGATACTAGCACTCTATAATGGTAGCCCATCAATTAATTGGGAGGGATCCTTGTGTAAGATCGGATCTCTGGAGAGGAGTGATGCTTAGAGTCTCAAGACCTCGGAAAAGATTGGGCCTTAGAAGGAAAGGCCTCGACTACAAGGTCACTTCGGCATATTAGTTTCGACATCAATGCTTGGGTCACGTCTGGCATGAGGTTTCGGATAAGATGTCACGTGGGTAGAAAGAGGTGGACCATGGGCCCAATGGGTCTGCCAAGTGTCAATACGTAACAATTATTATTATTATTATTATTATTATTATTATTATTATTATTATTATTATTATTATTATTTTCCTTTATTAATTTACATGAAGGTATTTGAAAATATATAGAGATCTTCTCTTTTAATTTTAAAAATTACAGACATTTATCTTTATAGATATTGCCTCTTCACCATTTTTAGTTCTATTTTAATTTATTTTTCCCTTTTACGTTTACTTTTTGATAAATAACATTTTCAAGCTTCTTTTTACATGTATTAGGTAAAAGGCAAACGGGTGGTCGGGAAAAAGATGAAGATAAAGATGTTGGAGATGGTCATGTATCGGTGTACTTCTTTTTTCATCTTTATACTTTTTTCTCTTTTTAATTTTTTGACTGGGTTATGATTATATTTGTAAATTAATTGGGTGTACTTATCAAAAATATATTTTAATTAGTGTGTTTATAACGTAACTAGAAAATAAAAACCTTAATGATAGTATAGTTAATTCAAATGGTATCTGTTGTCTAAAACAAACTTTAAAGAGTGTCTCTAATTTGTGAAATTAAAAGGAGGGAGTCTATATTCATGATTCATCTACAATTTGAGAGAGATTTCTATAACTTGCTATTTTCTTTGATATTTCAATAAATAATGTTATTTACAGTTGCTCACTATCACAGTCGTCTTACGTGGCGCGTAGGGCGATTATGACAGTGAGCGATTACAAATAGCATTACTCTATTTCGATAAGAACGTAGATTGAGTTAACAAGGCGTGATTAAGGAAAGATAATCTATTCATATATGTTTAATTCAAGTATTGTTGGTTGATTTCAAACAAGATAAAGAATATTCTTGTACATAATATCACTCTAATTAAAGCCAATATAGATAGCAAGAAATCAATCTCTAACTTGAACAATTAAGGCGCATATGAAAATAAAGGTTGAGTGCGTAAATGAGCACATAGATTCTCAACGAAGGAACAAACGAAGAGAAATAGACAAGTTGAAAATTTACTGCTACTGTAGGAGAAAGGGGAAATACAACTAAACAGCCTAAATAATAGGAAGATTTTTGAAACTAGTCTAAAAAATGAAAACATTTGAAAAATAGCCTTCAAACAACTACCTTTCCAAAAATACCCCTTATAGAGAAATTGCAACCAAAGCCACTACAATGTATAAAAATCTCCAAATAGGTCCCCAAAGAAATATAGACCAAAATTTTTTAATAAATTTAGACCCAAATATTATACAAAATTTTATTGATCTAAAAAAGGCCACAGAAAATGAAATAAACTATTTGGAAGAAGATTTGAAAGACTTCTTTATAGAATATTTAGACCCAAAACTAAAAAATAAAATTGATTCCATAGATAATGAAGCAATCAAAATGGAAAAAGTTATATATAAACTAATTCTTAATTTAAGAAGAAGAATTAAATAATTAAATATAATTATTAAAGAAAAAATATTGGTAAAAAATAGTGAATTTTTTAAATTTTATTGTGATATTTTAAATACTTATGAAGATTCTAACTGGCTTAAAAATATTAACCCCTCCGCTGCACACTCCGAAGAAATGGTATCAGAGCCAGGTTACGAACCAAAAATTATGATGAATATAGTAGACGAAGAAAATATAATTGAAGAATTTTTGAAAAAAGTCGAAAAACATAAAAAACCTAGTTATCCTTATTTACCTAAAAATACCACAAATGAAAATTTTGGGGATATACATAAAAGATTTGAAAAGATCTTAACAACAGAATTTTTAGGAGATAGGTATGCTTCTAATGAAGAAGAAAGAAAACAAGATGAATATAACCAAGGAATGATCTTAATGGAAAATTTAAAGATATGTGATATGTGTGAGTTAGAAATATATACATGTAAATTTGAAGAATTATACTATATACTTAATCAAGGAGACTATCAGGAAAATAAACCTATTTTAAGGTCTTATTTTACCAAGTTACCATTCCCATGGGGGAATCAAGTTACTAAAAGAATATGAAAAATTACTACCTCTAGGAAAAGAGGAAGGAGTTGAAATAGATAGTCTTGGAAGTAAAATTGAATTCACAAGAAGAATGATAGGAATGTGGTGCAGAGAAGCACTAGAAAATAAGAAAGTTTATAAAATAAGAAAAAATTCATTATGTTGTTATAAAGATAATGGCCAAATTGAACAATTTGGATGCCATAAGAAGAAATATAAACCATATAAGAAATATAAAAGGAAGTTCAAAAACTATAAAAAATTCAATAAAAGGAATTTTAAACCACATAAAAAATATTTCAAGAAAGGAAATTGGAAAAAGAAATTTAAACCAAGAAACATTAAAAAATGCAGATGTTTTATTTGTAATGAAGAAGGACATATTGCCTCTCAATGTCCTAAAAAGAAAGATAGACAAAATATAAAAACTCTTAGAATATACAAAAAATTCCAAGAAGATAGTGATATAGAACCAATTGAATATTTTGAAGATTTAAGCAGTGAATGTAGGAGTATTTATAAATTAGATACATCTTCATCAGAAGAAGATTATGAGAAGATAGTATACATGAATTAGGAGATACAACAATCAGAAATAAAAATAGAAACAACTGAAAAAGTTGAAGATTCTATAGAAGGTATTAATCAGGAGATAACTTTTGATATTAAAAAATATGCAGGAATCACTAAAAAGATCTTAGATCTACAAGAAAAAGATGTATTCCATCAAGAATTCTTAGGAATTTTACCAAGGGTAAATAAAACAATTGTAAGTATGAATTATAAAGAAATGTCTATCAACATAGAAGATACTATAGGAAAAGCAAGAATTCCTATAATTACAAAAGAATGGGTAAAACAAAAACTATC